GCCCATCCAAGAATAAGATAGATCTTTCTGTCTTCTAAGGTCTTCTTTAATTTCTTTCTTTAGCATGTTGTAGTTTTCATTGTAGAGGTCTTTCACCTCTTTTTTAAAATTTATTCTCAATATTTTATTTTTCTTGAGGCTATTGTAAATGGGGTGGTTTTCCTAGTTTCACTTTCATCGGATTTGTCACTGATGTACAGAAATAGCTTATTTCTGTATGGGTGTTGATTTTATATCCAGATACTTTGCTGAATTCATTTATTAGTTCTAGGAGATTTCTGGTGAAATGTTTTGGGTCTTCTGGGTATGGAATCATATGGTCTTCAAATAGTGATAATTTGAGTTTTTCTTTTCCTATTTTATCCCTTTAATTTCTTTCATCTGTTTGATTGCTCTGGCTAGAATTTCAAGAACTACGTTAAATAGAAGTGGTGACAGAAGGGCATCTAGATTGGTGCCACAATTTAGCTATTGTGAATTGTGCTGCTATAAACATTGATGTGGCTGTATCCCTGTAGTTCCAATTTTTAGAGGGAATGCCTTCAATTCTTGTTCCAGTTTTTAGAGGGAATGCCTTCAATTTTCCTCCATTTAGAATGATGTTGGCCTGGGCTTAGCATAGTTAGCCTTTCCAATATTGAGGCATGTTCCTGTTATCCCTAGTTTTTCAAGCATTTTGAACATGAAGGAATGCTGTATTTTATCAAATGCTTTCTCAGTATCTATTGAGATGATCATATGATTTTTATCTTTGAGTCTATTGATGTGAGGAACTTCATGTTAGACCAACCCTGCATTCCTGGGATGAACCCTACTTGATTGGGATGCACTATCTTTTTGATATGTTTTTGTATTTGATTTGCTAAAATTTTATTGAGAACTTTTGCATCTATATTCATTAGAGATATTGGTCTGAAGTTTTCTTTCTTTGATGTGTCTTTGTCTGGTTTTGGAATCAGGGTGATATTGGCCTCATAGAATGTATTTGGCAGCGTTTCCTTGTGGGAGACCAACCTTGCACATGACTGAGTCACACTCCCGGGCTGGATGCTGAGGCGCTCAGTCACAGAAATGTGGCAGAGCTTTCCCCACCCTTCTTGGGTTCGAGGGTCAGTGTCTTGCTACAGCCCCATGGGTGAAGCTATGCTCACCTGTTCTTTGTAATTTAACCCCTTGCCCTGTTTAGGATAGAATCTTCCATGGAAGTGCCGTGTGTGTGTGTGTGTGTGTGTGTGTGTGTGTGTGTGTCCCCTTCTCTTACTGTGCCCTTGGGTGTGGCCTACCCAGATGTCAGTCAACCTGCTGACAGTGGATATCATGAAGATAGACTCAGCCCCCTGAAACTTGACCTCTTGCCTCATTTGAATAGCTTCTTCTCAATAAAAGTGGTCAGCACATGCTCTCGCTCTCTCTTCCTATGGACCCTTAAGGTAAGAGGAGCCATTACAGTGACCCTAAAGAAAAAGGTATTTGTGTCTCTTGTGTGGTTATTTTGTGCAGCCCAGTTAGCCCAGTTCAACTGGAGTGACCCCTGAGCCTTTTAGTCATGAGAACAGAAACTTGGCATTCCCTCTTTTTCTATTTCATGAAATAGTTTGAGAAGTATTTGGTGTCAGTTCTTCTTTAAAGTCTTGTAGAAATCAGTTTTGTATCCATCCTGTCCTGGGGTTTTCTTAGTTGATAGACTTTTAATGGTGTCCTCTGTTTCCTTGCTTGAAGTTGATCTATTTAAATTGTGTATATCATCCTGATTTAGTTTAGGCATACTATATACCTCTAGACATTTGTCAATGTCTTTGATATTTTCTATTTTATTGGAGTACAAATTTTCCAAATAATTTCTAATTTTCTTCTGTATTTCTGTAGTGTCCGTTGTAATATATCATAGATTTTAGTAATTTGAGTTTTCTCTCTCCTTCATTAGCATGGCTAATGGTTTATCAATTTTATTTATTTTTTTTCAAAGAATCAACTTTTTGTTTTGTCAATTTTTTCAATTGTTTCTTTTGTTTCAATTTCATTATTTCTAATTTCATCCCATTGTGGTCTGATAGAATGCAGGGTAGTATCTCTACTTTTCTGTATTTACTAAGATTTGCTTGGTGGCATAACATATGTCTATTTTAGAGAAGGATCCATGTGTTGCTGAGAAGAAAGTGTATTCACTCATTGATGGATAATATACTCTATATTAATGTCAGTTAAGTCCAAGTTATTGATTGTGCTATTGAGTTCTATAGTTTCTTTCTTTAGCTTTTGTTTGGTAGAAAGAGTTGTGTTAAAGTCACCCAGAATTATTATGTTGTGATCTATTTGACTCTTGAACTTCAGAAGAGTTTGATTGATGAACGCAGATGCTCCAGTGTTTTAGGCATATATATTTATAACTGTGATGTCTTGTTGATGTATGTTTCCATTAAGCAGTATGAAATGTCCATCTTTATCCCTTTTGATTAACTTTGGCTTGAAGTCTACTTTATTTAATATGAAAATGGAAACCCCTGCTTGTTTCCACAGTCCATGTGAGTGATATGTTTTTTCCTAATCTTCACCTTCGGTCTGTGGGCGTCTTTTCCTATGAGTCTTTTGAAGGCAGCATATTGTTGGGTCTTTTTTTAAATCCAATCTACCAGCCTATGTCTTTGATTGGTGAGTTTAAGCCATTAACACTTAGGGTTATTATTGAGATATAATTTGTATTACCAGTCAGTTTTGTTTATTTTTGGTGTTTTGCCTGACTTGGTTTCTCCTTTGGTTGGATTTCCTTTTATTGTAGTTCTTCCCTTTGCAGATTTCATTGTTTTAAATTTCCTTTTCGTGGAATATTTTTCCAAAAATGTTCTGTAGTGCAGGCTTTCTTGCTGTAAATTCTTTTAGCTTTTGTTTATCATGGAAGGTTTTTATTTCATCATCAAATTTGAAGCTTAATTTTGCTGGATATAAGATTCTTGGTTGGTATCCATTACCTTTTAGAGCTTGGTATATGTTGTTCCAGGATCTCCTAGCTTTGAAAAAATCTGCTGAGATCTGATTTTTCTCTCTTGTAGCCTATAAATTTTATTCTTATTCTGTATACTAGGCATTTCCATTGTAATGTGTCTTTTGTGTAGATCTATTGTAATTTTGTACAGTTGGTGTCCTATAGGCCTCTAGTATTTGATTTTGCAATTCATTCTTCATGCTTGGGAAATTTTCTGATATTTCATTGAAGAGATTGTGCATTCCTTTGGTTTTAATCTCTGAACCTTCCTCGATCCCAATGAATCTTAAATTTGGTCTTTTGATGGTATCTCATAATTCTTAGATGTTCTGTTTGTGTATTCTTACCATCTTCACTGTGAGGTCAACTTATTCAAGAATCTATATTTTGTCTTCATTGTCTGAGATTCTGTCTTCCAGGTGGTCTAGTCTGTTGTGATGCTATCGAGTTTTTTAATTGGCTTACTGTTTCTTTTATTTTGAGGATTTTTTTTTTCAGTATCTTTCTTGAAGTAATCTCTTGCATCTTGTATTTGTTGTCTTTTCCCTTTGTTGGTGGGATCGATGCTCGCCTGAATTTGCTCCTTCATCTATTTGGTGAAGGCACTCCCCCTCCCACTGTCTTGACAATGTCACAGTGTTGATAAGTGCTGGCAAAGCCTCACTGGTGGGAAACCGAAACCATGAGACCCTTTTTTATGTAAATTTGACATGAGTATGCTTAATGCCAAGCCAAATTAAATTTCTAATAGCTAGGACATAACAGGAAGTTCATGCCTTGAAAGCTGTTCTACTACTTCTCAGCATATCAAGGACAAAATAGAAGGTTTTTTCCTACTATCTCAGCACATTGAGGACAAAACTGATAATAAACAACAGTCATTCTCCAAAAGGTCATGAGAACTTTAGGCACCACCTTGATAATTATATCAACTAAGAACCCAAGCCTGTATCTCTGGCCCCTTATAAAGCCTAATTATTATGCTTATTGCACAAACCCACCATATGTAGTTTTATTTGATTAAGGGAAAGTCATGTTATACACTTAGGAAAGTTAAGGCAAATAGATACATTCCCCCCTTTTCTATAAATCCTCTTTTACCTCACATAGGGACTTATGATGAGCATAGTTAATATTGGCGGTTATTGGACTGATGTTCGGAACTTGCCTTTCAGTGAAAGAGATTACAAAGGTATAAGAAATAGTGTACCTTGACAAGAAACAAAGAAACTCTTTGAGAAAGTGATAAACCCAGCCTAATTCCCTCTTAAGATTGGGAACCATCTCGCCACAAAGGTATGAAAAGTTAATTTTGATTTTATTATAAATTACTGCGTTTTCTAAACTTGCTTGGAATGCCTGCCCATGCCTTGAACTCACCCATTCCTGGTTTTCCCTGACCAGATAACAACCCTCTCTGAAACTCTAGTGGTGCCTCATAAATTCTTATGTTGGGATCTAAATTTACTCCCTAAGTGCTGGACCATTAAACCTACTACCTGCCTTTGTGTTATGCTTGTCAAAATCCTATTTAAGTTCTCAAGACACCTCCCCCTTTTTGCAACTTTCTGTGCTATAAGCTGCACTCCCAGAGAGCTGTGGGGCTGTCTTCTATTCCCATGGGTTTTGGGAGAGACGGCCCTGGACACAAGCTTGCTTTGATTTAAATTGGAGTTGGTGGTCTTTTCTTTGTGTTGTGCTTTAACAAAAGCAGCTCAACCAATTTTATGAGAATAAATGTAGGAATTAATTAAAGTAGCTTTAAAGACACATTTTTAGAATGTTAGAAATATTATTTTATTTAGATTCTTAAGTTTAGAATTAAGTTTTTAGCTGTATGGGTCCTTAAGATGCTGTAAGAATAGTTTATAGACTTAGGATATTTTAAGTATAAGATTTGAGGGGACTTCTTTAGATGGGATCTTAGTACAGGTATACTTTAAAGGTTAATGACAGGTGGGAGACTTAAATTACGTAGTTTGGCATCTGTTAATAAGAAAATAGTACATCTTGGGGAAACTGAAAAATGCAAATTAGTGACACATTTTATTGATTTTGTACCCATAAAATTGATAAGCAAATGTCATATCCTGGAAAAATGTAAACTGATGACACATTTTTCTATACCCATGATGATTGTTAAGGAAATGTCACATCTTGGGAAAAATCTGGAAACTGTAAAATCAATGATGTATTCTGAATCCATAATGATGAGAAAAATTGTAATAAAAGATGACCCGGAGAAAGCTGCATGAGAGCTCTCTCTGGAGATTGCTCCAAAGGAACGACTCCTTGTCTCATCCTTTGCGCTGACACCACTCATCCTTCAGGACTCCCTGAACCCTGCTGGGGAAGGACCCTGGCAATCATGATGAACTTCTCTCCCTGGTCTTCAATCCAGGCCATTAGAAGTTTCTCTATACCAAATAGAAACCTGTCTTGAATTTTTGCTAGTCTTGTTGGCTTCAGTGAAGCAGATCCTTGAACAGCTTCCATCACTTTGTTCTTGTTCTTCAAGATGGTAGCTATGGTGGGATGGCTGACTGGTGAGCAATAACCATTACTGATTTCCCACCTCCATAGTCCTCAATAACTTCATTTGCAGGTCCATCACTTGACATAGATAGCCTCTTATTGGCAGTACTAGTGGATTCTGTTTGCTTAGAGGCCATGGTGAACAAAACAACATGAGATTAAATCAAGCACGAGAGAGAACGCTGTATTCAAGAGATGTGGTAAACACAAGATGTATGAGGCTGCAGACCATTGTATATGTGGTTTGTTGTTGACTGAAACATCATTGCGCAGTGTATGACTATATATGTGAAAAATAAGCAGGACAAATTACTGGCTGTATTTTATGTTTTGTCATGAGTCAACAGGGAAGGGGAAGTTTTTCTTCATGGTCCCTGATTACAGCTGCTTAGCCTGAACACTACTCTCTCTTTCTACTACTTTCTTTACAAAAGAACCCTTCCTGGGGAAAATGGAAGGTGGAGCACAAGAGGACACAAAGCTAGGAGAGACTCTGCTATACTCTGGCTGCAGGCCAATGAGTGTCAATGCCACCTTCCATCTTAAGAGTAAAGGCTTATTAACTTTAACTTATGGGAAATAGGCAATTACACAAAATACAGGATTGCAACCAAACTTTGTTTTTAAAAGATGAGTTTTTGACACTTAAGGATTTCATTCCAAACTCTCAATTATATAATTACAAAAAAAAAAAAAAATCCATGTTTCAGGAAAACATCCTTAATCCTAACATAAAATTCATGTCACTTATCACAAAGTTAGACGGTCAAGTGTATAAATGAGAAACTAAACAGAAGCAGTATTTACAAATTTAGACAACATGAGACATTGTGAAGAAACTTGTGGTAATAACACACTACATACTTTCACACACTACATTTCCAAGTGATACCTTTGTAAATAATAAGATAAACATCAGAGTGTGAGGACTTTAACTTAAATTCAAAGTCATCATGTTGAGGACTTTAAATTCAAGGTTGTAATTATGAAACCTTTAAATTCAAGGTCTTAGTGACAAAGACTTTAAATTCAAGGACAGATTGTCTAAGAAAGGACAAACCATTAGCATTCAAGTTATTTAGTCAATTAGTTCCCCGTGAGTACAAAATATTAGGAATCACTAAATGAATTAGTCTAATTACAATTTTTTTTTTCATTTCTAAATATTTCACAACTGTAAGAAGTCTTTTCACAGAATCATTCAGTCACATAGTTTCTCTCTATCCTTGAGTAGGTATTTCTGCTACATTTTAAATCCTTATTTCAAAACAATTCCCTCTCCATTTCTATATTTTTTGTAAGTAGAAAATATTTTAAAACAGAGAACTATCTGTTCCTTAGCTAGAAATGGGAACTGCCTGTTCCTTTACTGACTCCTGGAAAAGAAAATTCCCAATTCCTTTTCTACCTCAAAACCACAAAGCAAACCAAAACAATCCAATTCCTAATGTAGTGTTGCCCAGGACCCAGGGCCTGGAACAATATTTCATGCTAGTTTCCTGCTATATGCCAAGCACAATTTAGTTATTTTACATTATTGAGAATTCTATTTAACAGACTAGAGTCATCCAGTGCTTCCGCCAGCAGAAGGCGGGCTAAAAAAGACGGGAGCAGCGGCGCCTGCGAATGGGAACGTCAAAGACTCTCCTCCTCCTCTCCTCCTCTTCGTCTTCATCTGATTCGTCCATGTCGGCTGACTCATCATCATCTTCTTCTTCCTCCTCCTCTTCTTCTTCCATCTCTTCATATTCATCAGGACCCATTTCCTTGAAAGAGAAAACAATCTTTTGATAAGATTATTGTCCATTAGTTTTTTATAGTAATTTAATGCAAATTCTCATTTATCTAGAATCCATACACGCCCAAATGAGTTTTGACAGACTGTAAGAGTGTAGTTTTCATAATGCACATGCTGATGCAGACTCTAAAATATATATTGTTATGATGGTAGACATATTTCACTAAGACAATACTTACTCCCACACAGTAGTTATTATTCATACAATATAGCAAGTAGACTACTAACAGTCCAAGATAAAGTTTTCTGAACTTCTCCTACTAATGTACTACATAACATTTCTTGGTTTCTCTATATACTTACAGAAAAGAGGATGTGAAAATATCAGGTATGACCTCTACTGGTAACTTTAATGCACTGTCAGAAAGAGGTCTCAAAAGATTTTTATTGAGCTCCTTCCAAAAAGACACATCATTTTAATTCAAACATCGGTAGCCTCTAACTTTAAAAAGTTCTTTATTTTTTTTAGTGACTTAAAACAACAACAGTCATATATTATCTCTCCTGGTTTCTGCAGGTTGGGTATCTGGGAAGTACTCAATGGGGTTGTTCTCGCTTGAGCACTTGTGATGTCACAATCAGATGGTGGCTGGAACTGGTGTCACCTCAAGGGTTTCTTCGCTCACATGTCTGGTACTGGGTTGGGGTAATCCAAATCTCCAGACTGAAACAGCTGGGGTTTCTGGTACCACCTTCTCTCTATGTGGTGTCTCTACATGGTCTCTCCAGCACGGTGGCTTCATGGTAACTAGACTTCTTGTGTGGTGGCTCAGGGCAGCAAAGGCACGTGTTCCAGGAGAGCGAGAACTAGGCTGAAGGCGTATTGCCCTTTTCTAACTTAGCTTCAGAAGTCAGTGTCACTTGCCAATTCACTAGAAGTGTATCACTAAGATGGATCCACACTGTGGGGAAAGGGCAGCCTCTGCTCTAACAGTCACTTGCTGGAGGCTCTAGAACAGGACAGGAGTGATGATGAACGTGCACTATGTAAACATATCTTGGAAATTTCAGTTTTGCTCAAGCAATACCTCTAAGCAAGCCTTGACTTACTCCTGACTGCCAATTTTCTCTCTGTCTGATACAACAACTCTTAAATGTTGATATATCTGACAGAATTCTAGTTGGTAATCTGAGAACTGGAAACTTCGGGCATGATGTCAGTGAAAGTCCTTCCATCAGGGCTCTTATGGCACTCTATGATCCAGCACCCCCGCCCTCTGACCTCACCTCACCCCCTCTGCTCCCCTCCTCGTTCACGGAGCTCCAGCCGCACTGGCCTCCTTGGTTCACACACCGGCCACACAACTGTGTCAGAACCTCCGCACCTGCTGCTCCTTGGCTGAATACTCTTCTTGCACATATCCACTCGGCGCCCTCTGCTCCTTTCATGTCTCAGCTTATGTGTCACCAAGGCCTTTCCTGACACATCTTTACATCAGAGCCCAACAGGACACTCCTTATCCTCTGACTGTTCTCCATGGCACTCGTTACTACTTGACACGAGTACACAGTGTTTGTTACAGCTTTCCTTCTAATTGGAATGTAAATTTCAAGGCAAGGATTTTGATTGTATTGTTGACTACAGTACTCAAATATTTGTTGAATGAGAAAATGAATTAATGTAGGAGAAAGGATTTGGGTCACTTAGAATTTTATTTTCATACTAACAATAACAATCCGAAAGGATACACAGATGTGACGTATAAGATATCCCATTATTTGTTTCCGTTTTTTTTTTTTAATCTAAGGAATGACGACTTTAAAATTCAGTAGGTCCCAAAGGCAAGAAGGGGAAGACTTTGAAAATACTAAAACATGAGCTCCAGGTAGTATGATTATTAATTACGATAATGAAGAAAACAGAAAAACTTAAAGAGATCCATGTGGCTAAAGAGGGAGATGCTCAGATGAAAGTGCTCGTGCATCAACAGCAGATAGAAAGAGGAACACAGCGACAGAAATGAGAAGCAGGAGCTTCTACAACACCCTCCGACAAGCACAATAAATGAACAACCTGCCTGCAAGGAAAGACAAAGACTGACCAACAGCATTTTTTAAAATGGCAGAGTATAAAGAAAAAGGAAATGTTAAGCCTTCTAATTAATCAGACTGGTAGAGGACAAAAGAAAGGAGCAAAACAATTGAATTTATATATCAAGAAAACTAATATAGAAACCAAAGGTTGACAAATACAACCCCCATTGCATTTTTTATGTCAGTTAGAAATATGTCCAGAATTCTCATTTCTCTCATCCTTGAGAAGAAACATTTTCCATAAGGCAGGTCAAGATTTAATATATTTATTTGTGCTTAAGAAGAAACTAAAACTCTAAGTAAATAAATACATAGTTGAGAGGGTTGAGCATGTAATGGGTTTATTTATTGTAATTATTGTAATTTTAAAAGGAACTGCTAAGTAAATATTGTTAAACTTCTCAGTTTTAGCTTCTAATATGATAATTATCAATGTTACCCATGTAAGCAAGAGTTCTTTGGAGCCCTTACTGAATTTAAGCGTCTAAGAGGGTCATGAAACTGAAATGTTGGAGAATGACTGTCCTTAAGTAGAGAGCACTTTACACTTGCCCCATCGAATACTGAAGAAAACAACCCTCAAAAGGATTAAGATGACCCAACAGTAGCTTAGCTGCCAAACAAGCTTTAGTGCTCTTTAAACTTCAGGACAAAGTATGTTATGGAGATGAAGAAGGAGATTTCATAATAATAAAAGAATCACTTCATTAAAAAGACACAACAATCCTAAGCACATTTGTACACAATTATAAAGCTTCCAAATACATGAGGCAAGTCTGACAGAACGGAAAAGAGAAATAGACAAAAACTGTAATCTTAGTTGGAAATTTCAACAATCATCTCTTCAGTAGTTGACAGAACAAAGGTCCCCCTCCCCCCAAAGCAATAAATATACAGATATTTGAAAAACACAGTTAACTAGTTTGACCTGTATATGTTAATATTCCCCTCAATGGCAGAATATACATTCTTTCCAAATACACAAGGATCATTTACCAACATATGTAAATTCTTCACATAAGATTGGGCCATAAAACATTTACAAGTATTGAAAATACAGAGGAAGTTTTCTAACCACAATGAAATTAGAAAACAACAACCAAAAGACAACTGAAAAGTTCCCAAATGTTTAGAAATCAACACATTGGTAAAAAAAGTCACAGGTCAAAATTAAGTTACAAGGGAAATTGGGTCTATTTTGTACTAATGTTAACAAAAACACACCAAAATTTATGAAATACAGCTAAAACAGTGCTTAGAATTTAAAATCAATAAACTTCTACTTTAAAAAGCTAGAAGAACAAATTAAACCCAAAGTAGAAAAAGAAAGATAACTATAGAAATCAATGAAATAGAAAAATGAATAGAGAAAAATCAGTGAAACCAAAAGTTGTTCCTTTAATCAACAAAAATGATAATAATCATGTGATGAACAAAAGAGTAGATATAAAATACCAATATTAAAAACAAAAGAGGACATATGACTACAATTCTTGTAGCCATTAAAAGGATATCAAGGGAATATTGTGAATAACTTTACGCCAATAAATTCAACATTTAGATGAAATGGACAAATTCCTTGAAAGGCACAAATTACCAAAACTGAAACAAGAAGAAATAGAAAATATGAATATTAAAGAAATTAAACTCATATTTTAAATTTTTCCCACAAAGAAAACTCCAGTCCCAAATAGCTTCACAGATGAATATCAACCATTTAAGAATAAGATAGACCAATCTCAGACAGATACTGGGCTAGTGAAAAAATGGAAGTCTGTCACAGGAAGTGGCAAACTTCTAGTACTGGAAATACAATTTCTAGCATTCCTCCATCTGGAAGAAAATTAAAATTTCACTTCCAAATCCAGACTGTAGTTTCTTTTCACCATACAACAAGTATCATGGCCTAAGGGCTCATCATCATCCTTTTCTTTCGGAATAGGAGTTGAGACTGTCATCTCAGAGTCAGGTTAATATCACATCCATCTTTCCAGACTTATTTCAGACCCACCCATCAGGACCAGTCCAGGAGATGGGGGCATTATCTGAACATTCAGTCCTACGCTTCATAATTTTCCTTTTATCATTTTATAGTCCCATAAAATTGGTTACTTTATGCCTGTTATAAGGTAACCCTAAACATGAGGTTTTAAAAATATACGTGGCTGACTTGAGAAATGGTCCCAGAAAGAAACTGTTAAAAATACAAATCTACCCATTTACCCTTTTTATCATAATTGTTACAGAATATCTGTTTATTTTACTACACAGGGAATTTTAGCAAAAAAAATTGTAAAAAAATCAACTTCCCAGTCTTAATAAAATAAAGTCAATCTAACCGGTCTAGCATGGTACTTCTCATATTCTAACATATCTAGACCACAGAATTGTTTCTGGAAATAGTGGAAAAGAAGATGACTCTTTAGAACAGGTTAACAGTAGTTTCTCTGGCTGAAGAGTAGTGAGTTTAGTTTATCTGCTGTTCATCTCCCCTAACATATTCACATGCCCAAGATACTTCCATATTTCCTCCGAATGTCCAGGGTTCTGTAGAAACTTACTAACAAATCGCTTGTCTGCCTAACCAAAGATCCTCTGTAGAGTTAATTTTACAAAGTCATATACCATCAACACTAGAGGGGAAAATTTAACTTACCAGTCGGGCTATTGACACCCTGAATGTCGGACATGCCATATGGAATCGGGGAATGGCAACATTAAAGATCTTGTCTTTAAAGTAAAGAAAATGGAAGGTATAATATCCTTCCATATATCCTGATGTCGTAGAGAATGTGGTACAGCTGGTGTACTCATATACCCGACCTGGGCTGATGATAGGGAATTCACCTGCAGAGAAAACAGTAAAAATACGCAGAAGTAGAAAACTTAGCTCCCCATTACAGTAAATAAGGTCTGTTCTCTAAGACACTATGTAAATTATGTGAAAGTAAGTGTACAATTTGGGGGTGGGGAATAACTTAAAAAGACACACAACAAAATGTTAACAATGAGGGAATTGTAAGCAAATATTTTATTCCTCTTGACATTTTTTCCTATATTCCCCAAATTCTCAACAATGTAGCAGATGGGGAATATAGCCTAAATCACAACAAAATGAAAAAAGGCACATAAATTCAAAGTGTTTTAAGGCATCAAAGACGAAATATTTAAGACATGAGTAATAAGCCAGGTGTGATGATTATAGGTCCACACCTACCATCCTAGCAACTCCGGAGGCTGAGATAGGGGAATCTAAGTTCTAGGCCAGCCTCTGTAACTTAGTGGGACCTGTCTCAAAGTTATGAACAAAAAGAATAGGAGATGTAGCTCAGTGCTAAAGCATCCCTGGGTTCAATTCCTAGTACCAAAACAGACATGAGTAATGAAAAAGTGTCCCAGATAGAGCTCAAACAGGGATAAGGGTAATCTGTTTAACAGCAGCAAGAGAATAAAACATAAGGTTGAGAACTTTCATCCTAAGTATTCAGAACAGACAAAATGTCGAAGTGAGAGTCCTTACACCAATAGACCAAATTAAAAAAAAAAAAAAAGAATTATGGCTTAATAAACTTCCTTAACACTAGATTCAGTCAAAGAAAAATTCACTGTATAAACACGAAGAGGTGGGTACAGTGGCAGATAGCTGTAATCCCAGCAATTAGGGAGGCTGGGGCAGAAGGCCATAAGTTTGAAACCAGCCTTGCCAACTTATCAAGACTGTCGAAAGAAAGAGAGAGAGAGAGAGAGAGAGAGAGAGAGAGAGAGAGAGAGAAAGAAAGAGAGAAAGAGGGCAGGAGGTGTAACTCAGTGGTAGAGTGCCCCTGGATTCAATCCTCATTATTGCAAAAGATAAACAAACAAATGGAGAATATTTATTCTCGGCAATGAATTAGAAAATGTTAAACTGAATGCTATGTACATGCAAGACTAATAATAAGAGTATACAGCTTAGATGCTATTTTCCTAAAGCACATTTTGAATCCTAAATATTCTGATGGTTCAGAAACTTAGGATAATCATAATTTTTTTATTTTTTTTTAAATTTATTTATTTAGTGGTGCTAGAAATGAAACCCAGAGCCTTGGACATACTAGGCAGGCACTCTACTACTGAGCTACATCTTTATCCCCCCATCATAATTTTTAAAAAAGTTGAATGTCAATGGTAAGCAGAACTAAAGTGAAGGAAATTCAAATAATTAAAACATCTGTGCTATTAATTTCAACATCTCCCTCCAAACTTCAAAAAGATTATGAAGTCTATTTTCTCTGTTTATGCCATCTTAACTCACAAAATATAATACTGAATAATCAGTTTTTAAAAAAGAACAATGAAAGCAAGAATATTAACCCCAAATGAGCCTCAGGAAGAGAAATCAATGCCTGAACAATGGAGTTTGGTATAATTTTAGAAAAGTTAACTTTGTGTGTGTGTGTGTGTGTGTGTGTGTTTTGCTGGGGATTGAACCCAGGACCTCACACCTGCTGGACAAGCACTACACCACTGAGCTATACCCCTAGCCTTAGAAAAGTTAACTGATAACAACATCTATACAACACATTTATGGAGGCAAAGTCTAAAATTCCTTTGAATAAACTGATGTGTAAACCTAAAACTTCAGTTACATACCAACTACTCCAGGTCCTTGAACTTCTTCTACATCACCCTTGGCATTTGTTATTCTCCAATAGCGACTGTCCAACTGGCATGCTTTCTCAGGAAGTGCATCCTTTGACATTTCAATCCTGGAGAAAAATGATAAAAGATACAAATCTGAAATTTGTGTGTTTTCTTTTGTTTAAGAGCTACAGTATTAAGAGTTAATACATGAAAGAAAATTTCCAAAGGAAACTAGGAAACCCAAACAAAAGTCAAATATTATCTAAGTTCTAAGTTTTTCTAAGTTTCTCTAAGTTCTCAGAGATATTGGCTTAAATAGTTTAGTTCCCCCACAAGAAATGCTTTCACTCAATTTATGCACTTAACTTTCAGTGAGGATCAACCTTACAAAGGGCAACATAAATATAAAGAAATACAATGGTAAGAAGACTCTCTTGCTGTTCAAATAAAGATCTATTCAGCAAATGCTTTCTAGAGTATATTGCCATTAAAAAATATCCAAAGAAGTGATGGTATTTCTTTCCCAGTTTTGTTTCATTTCCATCAGCTTCTAAAAAGCTCAAAGCAAAATTTCAACAGTTACCAGAATTAAACTTCTCTTCTGTTTCTCCATATTATCATCTCCCTCTTTCTCTAGGAATCTGCTATCTTTTATTTTCACTTTGAGTGCCCTATAAGTACATATTTTAAGTGTTTCTAAATCCTACAAGGATCTCAATTAAATAAAACAAAAACCACCTATACCTATATATTTGGACATTTTAAAGGCTACATGTAATACCAAAATCCCAGGATGCTTTCTCATGGGTATATATTATTAAAATACCTGAAGTATGTATAGAAGCCCTTTTTTTGGGGCAGGGACAGGGTGGGGAGGCAGCCTGGGGATTGAATTGAACTCAGGGGTGCTTAACCATTGAGCCACATCCCCAGTCATTTTTTAATTTTTTTTATTTTGAGAAAGGGTCTCAACTAAGTTGCTTAGGGGCTCACTAAGTTGTTGAGGCTAACCTCTAACTTGTGATCCTCCTGCTTCAGCCTCCAGAATCGCTGGGATTACAGGCATGCACCACAGTGCCCAGTTTACATGCATTTTATATACTAAAATATATAAAGATATATTTTAGAGGCTGGGGTTGTGGCTCAGCAGTAGAGCACTCGCCTAGCACATGTGAGGCCCTGGGTTCAATCCTCAGAACCACATTAAAAATAAAGGTATTGTGTCTAACTATAACTAAAAAATAATATTTTAAAAAATACTTTTAAAAATTTTACATTTTATATATGAAATAAACAGCTTAATATTTTCTATAGATATATTAAAATGAAATATATATTTAACATATGTAATATATTTTATATATTGTAAATATTTAAATTAAACATTTCCTTTATAAAATACGCATCTTATTTTAGAATATGAATATCCATAAATATTTTTCTATAGAAACATACATATTTTATACATATAAAATATACATTTAATGTATAAAATATATAAAAATGTCTTTTAAAATAAAGTATCCTTACTCCCTTGAAGACTGTCATAACACAGAATACTTCTAACAAAAGTAAGTTTTAAAGATTTGCTTTTAATCAAATCCACAATAACATGTATAACCTACATACAGCACTCAGGAGATATTTATTAGATTTTTTCAATTGAATATAGACAAGAGAGATGAAACTTATAATGCAAGGTTTTATGTTTGGCAACTGACAGCTTCTAGAATTCATTACAATTCTAATATAGAGCTTTGATGATTATAACTCAGTTATAATCACAGTACCTGGCAAAAAACTTTATACCCAGTATATGGCCAAGAAATAATTTAAATAACTTAGAGGTTAATAATAAAGTCAAAGTCCATTACAAAAACTCTATGTATCTACCTTCCTCCAAATTTCAGCAAGAAATTATCTTTCAAAATGCATTTTAGGGCTAGGGATGTAGCTCAGTAGTAGAGAGCTTCTCTAGCATACACCAGACCCCATGTACAAAGTCTTTTATATATCACATCAAATGGGGCAAGAGCAACCCACTTATTGGATATATTCCACCATGAACTGAAAGGCGGCCCCATTTAAAATTCTCACCTGATGCGATATGTAAAGAAATAGTGGGGTGGGTGGACAGAGCTGAGTTCTGGCAGAAATGATGTGGAAACTGACACTGTTATATCCCCAGTTGTTGCCACGCACTCTGGATCGTGAACATATCTAGAAAATTTTAAAACATTAAATATGTTAAAAACAATTTCAATTCCACAAAAGGTTTAAAAAGATACAATGCACAATTGCTTATACTTTAGGATGAAAATTTAAATTGAAATCATATTAAATTTAAAACAAAATTAGAAACATATTAAACTCTGGCTTAGTAATGACAGCAATCAAGGACAATGACCAGTGGTTCAAATAATGGATTGCATTTGATAATTATTTTGGAAACTAAAATAAAAAGAAAATTTTGGAAATATCTGAAATCCAGCTACATCTGCTAAATGATGGCTCTGACAAGAAAAAAAAATGTATAAAAAATATATAAGTATGTACTGTGAGCCTCTAATGTATAATTAAACTACTGTTCCTGTCTCTATACCAAAGGCATCTAATAAGTAATTAATATATTGTTTCTGCCACAAAAGCTACTATGAACTCTAATACTAACTATAACCTTAAATGCTCCATTTAGAGATAATAAAAAATATTTGCCAGGAGTTGCTGTCTTGCCATTCATAATAAATCTATTCATTGGCAAAGAGTCTTTTTTTTCCCCCAGAGAAACTATATACCTAATATTGATTCATAGCTTCTAAATTAAATTCAGTTTTCTGTCTGCATGCTCCAAGATAAGAAAAATCCTAACTGATTAAGTATTTAAATGTTTTGGCTTTGAAGTTAAGAATAAAATAGTAAGATTCAAGATAATGAGAGGTTCTGTTATTAACCTTCTTGGGGAAACTTCATCTCATGATCTGTGATGAATGGCTTTTTCTGAATTTTAATCATTTCCATCCAAAAAGCCCCAAATGAAATACCTGAAAATTTGGTCTCTGATGATGGGGAAGCCACCTGATACAACATTGTTGACATAAGAGGTAAACCAGTCAGTAAAAGTAGCACCTATAAGCCAGAAAGGGAGAAAAATAAGGGAAAAAAAAAAAAAGGACAAATCATTTTTGCAAAATCTACACAAGAAACAATTATAATTTCTCTATGTTTAAGGTGTGATACTAAAACTGGAACTATTTAAAGATATCTTTTCTCTATTCTATCTACGTTATTTCCTTAGAATTGTCTCCCTCTCCCTCCTCCCAATTTTTGTTTGGGAATCCCACAGCTATCTTCAAACTATTTTTTAAATGTACTTGATAACACTTTCTGGTACAATAATGAAAAATCTGCCTATAATTTCTAAAACACATAAGACAAAGGAGATACAGCAATGTCTAGGAAGAATCTATAAGAAAAATACCAGCACCTATTCGCAGATGAACAGTATACATAGTGGTTCAGTTACATCCTGACTCACATTCAAAATTCTGGCACAAGCCAGGCTTAGTCTGGTCATCTACCAAGGACATGGCACTGTAGAGTTCTGGGCATCAGGCCAATCCCAAAGCGGTCTAGTTGCATACTACTACATATTCAGTCGCTCAGTGACCTTTATATTCTCAGTGACCAGCTTGAAGCAGAAAAGAATTATGGGAACAGCTGAGTCCAGACCCAGAATGTAGTAACAGGATCAATGACAAGTATTTAGATGAGTCATATTTATATAACTAGGTAATACAACATAGCTCCATCAGACCCTGTGATTTATTGTTAATACAGCTCAATGCCTAACACATATTAATCCCTTAATTAATGTATTCAATCAATTTCTTTGTAATCTGGTTTCAATTAACTCAGTTCTGCATCCACCAAACTGAATGTTAAATGCTAAATGTATAGTTCTTATTATCTTATTTAGGGTATGATAGAAGATACAATTTAGCTTAAATCTGAGAATACAAAGCTTTCAAATTTTAAAGGCACTGACTAAGAGAAGGTAAACTATAATAGCTGGCTTTTTTCTCAGTGTCTCCTAATAGCCCATCTGACTTGACCCATTATTTATTAAATGCTATTTTGTCCAAAGATTGTTGATCAGCCATCCATTTTTTTTTATATTTATTTTTTAGTTTTAGGTGGACACAATATCTTTATTTTATTTTTTTTATGTGGTGCTGAGAATCGAACCCAGTGCCTCACGCATGCTAGGCAAGCGCACTACCACTGAGCCACATCCCCAGCCCCAGCCATCCATTTTGAATAAGATATTAGGGAGGTATATGAATAATATCGTTAAAATTCACAAAAGACTCTAGGTTTGATCCACAGGTACTACAAAAGAGGAAAAAAATCATAGAAGGTATAATTTTACATTTTATTTTTTATTCCTTGCATGTACCTCTTTTTCATCTCCTACTAGATTTCTTACTTTACATATTTTAATGTATTTTTACTCAAGTTTACGTTTTTAGAACTAGTAATTTCACTGAAGAGTTTTAAAAATCATTTCGTGTACCTCATGAAATGTCACATAAGAAATGAATTTTTTATGGTTTGCATCAAAAGGAAATTGGCATGATATACTTAAGTGTACTTTAACTTATTACAAAACAAACCAATATATGTTCTTTAAGGTAAGAACAGAGTAGGCAGCATTCACTATTAAGCTCATCTTAAGTATCTATTAATAGAGCACTGAATGCCTAGAGCTATCATCCCATGAAACTGAAACCTAATTGAATTCAGATGCAATTTACATGTTCTCAAGTAATTTACCTTCTAAACTAAGCCCATGTGTGAATTTCTTTGGTAGTAGTGGGTTTTGCCAAGATAATAAAAGGAAGCTGCTCTTTCCCCAGCACTGACTTCCCACTTCCTCTCTCCTCAGTGATCTCACATCTCTTTTCTTGCTCTCCCATCCTAGGAGAAATCCCAGCTTCTATGATAGCATTATCAGACTACTGTTAGTACTCTGTTGCAATGGTTTCTTCTGTACTGTATCAGATTAACACCAAACTAAGAGTAAGAAACTCAGAGACTACCAGCAGCTTACCTTATTGTCCCAGCAGCCTCTAGTTCATGAACTGAGTAGCACTACTGAGCTAAAGCTGTGATGGTCATCTCTGAAGGTGTGTCATGCAAAGATGCCAGGGATGGGGGGTGGGGGGCAACCAGCATGTGCACAATCTCCAGAAGGTGCTTAACTTAAAACCAGAGACCACATGAGTCAGAGTGAGTTGAAAGCTAGGGCCTAAATTTAAAAGCTTTTTACAACTTACTAGGTAAGTTGTTTTTTTTTTTTTTTGGGGGGGGGGGGCGTGGAGGAGGCAGGTAACTCAGGGGCACACTACCACTGAGCCACATCCCCAGCCTATTTTGTATTTTATTTAGAGACAGAGTCTCATTGAGTTGCTTTGCACCTTGCTTTTGCTGAATCTGGCTTTGAACTAGCGATCCTCCTGCTCAGCCTCCAGAGCCACTGGGATTACAGGTAATGTGCCACCACGCCTGGTAAGATCTTCTTGATATTATAAAGTATGCCACAAACCTGGGCTATGTCACAGAATGGAACAAGAGGACACTAATTTTCTGCTTAAGAGTTCAATTAGAAGATATAATTAAATAGTAAATACAGACAACTTAACCAGCAAGGCCTTTTTTTTTTTTTTTTTTTTGCTGCTGGTGATTGAACCCAGGGCCTTGCATATGTTAACCACATTCTCTACCACTGAGCTACCCTCCCAGAACCCCTCTTTACTATTAATATGTTGGGATGTTTAATGTGCCAGCAATGCCTTTAAAAACCAGGACGGTCAGGAAGCTTCTGTTAGATAGATAGAAGGTAAACCTGATAAGACTGAATAAAGAATAAAAGGGTAAGCTGCACTTGCATACCAACTGAAAGGTTCTTAAAAACCATGCATGATGGCACACACCTATAATCCCAGCTACTGGGCTCAGGCAGGGGATGGCAAGTTCAAGACTATACTGTACAACTTAGCAAGACCCTGTCTCAAAATGAAAAATGAAAAAGGGATGTAGTTCAGTGGTAAAGTGCCACTGGGTTCAATCTCCAGTACCAAAGGGAAACTGTAAGAAACACCCTTTTATGGCCAAGAAAAACTAGTTGTGCCAAGGAGTTTCTGAAGCACATAATTCAGACTGGTCTTGAAGACTGCTGCTTCTTGGGTCTCTATTGTGATTTATCATTCATTATCTTACTACACCAATAGCACCAAAAGAGAAAAAGTTTAAAGTCACTTTATATAACTCTATCTCCAATTACATATTAATATGATCAATGGAAGATGTATGTATGAGTTAAGGAAACTACACATACAGCAATGCCATGTATCTCACTGATCTATAAGAGCATTAAGAGCACAAGATCACATAGGGCACAATTTTTTTTCCAATGATAGCTGCCATGTAGTACTTTATAAACCAAAAAAGCCCTAAAACATCCAAGTATAAAACTGCCAGCTGCTCATAACTGTAAAGGTTTTACCAACTCATTTTTTTTTAAACTGGGAGGAGGAAAGGGAAAAAATTACATTTTTCTTCTCCTACCTATGATAAACATGTCAATAGCAGCTGGGTTCCGAGCCATTTGGTCCTAAATGAGAAAAAGAATATAATTGATATAAATACATTTATTTCATTACCTGGATCTTTTCTTGGAACAAGGCAAAACAGATAATAATAAAAATTAGTGTTCTAACCAACATTCAGATATTCCTCACACTTTTAGTTCCAGTTCTTATACTTTTTTAGGCTCTTTCTATAAAGTCCTTGGAAGAATGCAGGACACTTCTCAATAAAATAAACTTAGATAGTGCTAATATTGTTCCAGTGAACTTAGGAAATTCTCCTTCAAGAACATAATTAGGAAGCTGAGGTTATAAGATATATGGCTTGCTAGCCTAGAAGAAAGGGCTTTTGGTTTTAGAGTCAAGAGATCTGAACAATTCTAGGATGTTCTAAAGCTAAATTTATTAAAAGTCAGAAGCATATGTTACAATTAATTACTTCAACAAGAAGTTCTTCATTACTTTCTCTTAAACTTAAAATGTCTTAACACAAATCACAGCTTTCGGTCTACATATACAATAGCATGCAATGTTTGCCCATGGTAAAATTTTCTTTTGGCATTCCATACCATTATGTCAGAATATCAGCTCTCTAACTAAAATGCACAATGCTCTGTATCTCTTCTACAACCCTGATAACATCTAAAGCACACCTTTGTATGTTTGTTAGTATGTATCCCAAAAACCACATTAACACTTCCTACTTACTGGACATTGGTAGAAAACTTCATTTTTGTTTCGGCCCTCCGCAGCTTCCACTGCTATGTACTGACTCAAACCAGTATGTATGCAAAAAGTTAAAGGGAGACAGTATTTCAGCCCCTGTCTCTGCTGGAATCCTCCGGCAGCCGTATCAACATCTAACAAATCTTCAGAACGATAGTGATTAGACAGCGCCATACTTCCCAACAACCTGAGGAGATGAAAAGGAAATGAAAAAACTCACAGTGTCAAACAAATAGCTGTGCTTCATATTTTTGATGAGTAATTTCATACTGATAACTTTATAAGTACTGATCAGCATAATTCTAAACAGGGAAAACCAAAACACTACAGTTCTACATATTCAAACTCTTTTTGATCAGACAGAAGGTTCTGATTTAAATTAAATGTCTAAATTGTCTAAATGTCAGCTTAAAAAAAAAGAAATGTAATTTCTTTAAAGAATCCATCTTGCCATGATCTATTCATTTGCCAGTGTTTTGCTATATGTATGGTTAATTTAATTTTTAAAGGGATAAATTCTCTGATAACTTTATCTTGATACATCCTTTAGTTTACTTCATGAAACCAGACAGTATAATCAGGCTAAACATTGTAAATCAGATAAACTGGCCTCAACTATGTCCCAAATTTCACAAACTTGAAATCTGCAAGGTAAAAGAAATCAATCTTGCTTCATATATGTGGACAATAATATAGATAAAGGGTTACCTGATGGTTCCTAATGTGATTCATCTTTTTAGAAGTCTTAAATAGGCCATTCAATTATATGTTGCACTTGAAAAAGATAAAACTCTTTTCTTTTTTTAAAATTTTCTGGTACTGGTGATTAAACCCAGGGTCAGGCATGCCTGGGCAAGCATTCTACCATTAAACTAAATCCACAGACCCAAATTATCACTTTTTTTTTTTTTTTTTAACATGTAGACTAGATAGAATCTATATCAAACTCTCCAAACAATTTACCTGGCCTATAGCAGGATGAACATGTCAAGAGTTCTTAACAGTTTAATTACAACATATTCACAATTATACTTAAGCCCTCTCCCCTCTTACTCATTTCCCCCTTCCTTCACCAGACTTCACTTTTTTTTTTTTTTTAAGAGAGAGAGAGAGAGACAGAGAGAAATTTTTTTAATATTTATTTTTAGTTTTCGGTGGACACACATCTTTATTTTATTTTTATGTGGTGCTGAGGATAGAACCCAACGCCCCTGAAATGGTATCTTTATGAGATATATTTATTTTGATAAACTTAAATTCAAGTTATAGATTTTGTATAATGACTGCTGTAAGGAGGAAGAAGAAATTCTTATATATGCTTTAACTGTTAAGGGTAACTAGAAATACAATTTATTTACTTTCATTCTAGAAAGTAATTTACATCACTAAAATAATCATAACATTGAACACCTTACCCAGGAACCACTAACTTCTGCCCATTGTGGATTCGGTATGAGCACCGATAGTCATCAGGAAGCTTGCAACCAATCTGTGCTTCCACAGCATCTAGGTCTTCTTCACGAGCTCCCTCTGCAAATGCACACCAAAGAAAGAATTATGAAGATACAAAGCAATCTAAAAAGAAATAGAATCTATCTGCTAACCTCTGAAACAATCTCTCAACAAGAGAATTCTGTCCAAATTGTATTACTGAAATATAGGTAAATGAATTGAAATTTATTTGAAGCATGGAATGAGCAAATTCTTTAGTTTCCTCTCAACAGGACTCATTAAAATGTGGAAATGGGTACCCATGAGATGCACAATAATTGTATTATAATACAGAACAAAGCTTGGGGTAGATCTTGTTTTTCTAAATCTGATTTTTAAAATCTGTTTATTTAAAATAAAATCTGTTTATTTTAAATAAAGTATTTAAAAAATCTGTTTATTTAAAATAAAAATTTAAAAATACCAGAAATTTTCTAAACTGATATTGCTCTAGAGTTTTAACACAGTCTTTTTATGTGAAATATGGGAACATATGGAACAGGTGTAGTTCATGCTATGAGGAGGCCACTAACTTGAATTTTGCATATTTAAAAACTTGCCACATATTCTAGATTTTATTTAAAGGTAGGAAGGAATAGCAAACACCTAGAGAAGAAGATATCCACTTTCAACAATGGCCCAAGTTGATCAACACTTTAGGTAGCTGTGCTGCATTGCTCAAAGGTTAAAAAAAGAAAGAAGAAGAAAAAAAGAAAGAATTAAAGAAAGAGAGAGGGATATCTAGTAAACAATCAAAAAAACTGGGTCTACATAAAACCAAGATCTGACTTGAGGTGGAAAAAAAAATATGTATACACACACACACATACACACAAACTGATTTTAAAAACACTAGTTTTTGTTGGCGAGAATCCAGAAGGGTCATATCCCACAGATAGGGGTGAATGAAAATAGATCAGTCCTCACAAAGAATAAAGCCCAGATTCCAATGTCTGAATGGAACGAGGTGATTTGTCCAAGGATGAGCTGCCAATCAAAAGCAGAAATAAATCTCTGGAAAATAATGTTATTCCCCACGCTCAAGTAATGTCTAGCAAACAATCAAAAAACCAAGGTCTACATAAAGCCAAGATCTGACCCGAGGGGAAAAAAATACAGCCAAATCTATAATACATCAGTTCCTGAAGTCAGGAAACATGACAATTGATGTACTCAATAAATTAAATGACAGGACTTTCAGGAGAGAACTAGAAATTTAAAACTAAATTGAATGAAAATCTTAGAGCTAAGGATTATAATAACTAAAATTAAGAATACACTGAAAGGGGACTGGGGTTGTAGCTCAGTAGTTGAGCACTTACCTCGAATGTGTGAGGAACTGGGTTCTATCCTCAGCACCATATAAATAAATAAATAAAACAAAGATATTGTGCCATCTACAACTACAAAAAAATTTCTTTTTAAAAAAAGAATACACTGAAAGGGTTTAACAGCAAATTATAAAAAATGAAAAAGGAAAAATAAACTGGAAACTGGATCAGAAGACAAAAAGAGGTGGGAAAATAAAAAATTTTAAAAAATAATGTAATATTTTAATATTATTTTTAATATTTATTATTTTTAATAAATAAAAAGAATGTAAGACACACTGGAAGGACACAATGAAAAGATCTGAGATACATGCATTAGAATCCTAGAAAGAGAAGAAGAAGAAAAATCAGGAACAGGCAGCATTTTTGAAGAGGCAGTCGCAGAAAATATCCAAAACTGATGAAAATATCAAACCATGATACAAAAAGCACCCTACAATTGTATTGAGACAAATCACTGGTGAAACTGCTGAAAGTCAAAAACAAAGAGAAATCTTAAAAGCAGTTAGAGGAGGGGAAAGGGGATATAACCAACTTTCAAAGGAACAAAGTAAGACTGACAACTGAATTCTCAATAGAAACAATAGAAGTCAGAAGAAGGATGTCTTCAGAATGGTGAAAAAAATTAGTGTTGCCTAGAATTCTATATGCAGTGAAGATATTCTCCACTGGGGAAGATGAAATATATACATTTCTAGACTAAGAAAATATGAAAACATTCAGAAGTAGCAGTCCCCTATTAAAAGAAAGACTGCTAGGCACGGTAGCACATGCCTGTAATCCAAAGTTTAGGAGGATGAGGCAGATCAGAAGTTCAAAGCCAGCCTCAGCAATTTAGTAAACCACTTAGCAACTCAGGGAGACCCTGTCTCTGAATAAAATATAAAAAATGGGCCTGGGGATGTGGCTCAGTGATTAAGCACCTCTGGGTCCAATCCTCAATACAAAAAAAAAAAGAAAGAAAGAAAAACTAAAAGGAGCTGAGCAAGGTGGCTCATGCCTATAATCCCAGGGATTTAGGAGACTGAAGCAGGAGGATTGAAAGTTTGAGGCTAGCCTCGGCAATTTGGCAAAGTCCTGTCTCAAAAAATATAAAATGCTAGATGTAGCATCATGAATTTAATTCAATTTCTAGTACCACAGACAGACAGACACACACACACACACACACACACACACAAATTATTTAGGGAAAAATAAAATATTCCCAGATGGAAACATGAACATATAGGTAGGAATGAAGAACAATCAGAAAAAGTAAATATGAAGGTTATTCTAAAATAATAGTGAATGTATATAAAGTGTTTTCATGGATTTTAAAACTACCGAAAATTAAGATCACAAAAATTATAATTCAAGGGACTGAGGTTGAGTAAGGTCCTAACATGGTCAAGGCTCTGAGTTTGATTCCCAACACTCCCCTCCCCAAAAGACTATAATACAAAAGGCAGGAGGAAGGTGAACTGGAATGAAAGTACTCCAAAGTTCAATTTTAATTGTCCAGGAAGTGGTAAAAACACTGATTTACATTTAGTCTTTAATACGTCAAGGATGCACATTTTAACATCTGAGGTAAGCCCTAAAAATGAAATATAAAAGAGGGAAGGAATGGAACAAAACATAATTAGGAAGAACATAAAGAACAGTGAACATGATATTTAAATTCAAATACATTAGTAAAACACTAAACACAAATAGACTAAATAATTTAATGAAAAGAAACTGACAGACCAGGTTAAAATGCTTAGCATTCCTAGCCCCACAAACAAACAAAACCCCCCAAACAAAAAGACCACCACACAATTATATACAAGAGATAAAACTTTACATAGATACAGAAGGGAAAAAAAATGCTGAAATAGCTCTCCTAAAATCGCACAACTTTAAGGCAAACAGCTTTATTGCAGCTAATGGAGGGCTTTTCTTAATGACAGAAAGGTTAAATTCACTACACAGGTCATATAATTCTAATTTTATGAACCTAATAACACAGCTTCGAAATATAATTTTTAAAGTGACAGAACCAAAATGGAAAAAAAGACCTATCTACAAGCATACTGGGTATACATGTTTTTTTTATTGCTGTTATAAGTAGCAGCTTAAAATACCTTTTTTTTTTTTTTTTTTTTTGCTTTTCAAGTAAATATGAGGCTAGGACAGCCCAGGTAAGGTTCCTTTCTTAAACATCTCTCCCATATAAGAAGACACCTGGCCTCTTTACTTTAGGCTCGACTGAGGGGAAGTGGAACAGGCTGAGTCCACCCCCAGGAAACTGACCCAAGACATTCATTTATGATTTTAGTTTCTGTAGGTCAGAAGCTCAGCCATGACTCAACTGGATCCTCTGTTTAGGTCCTGCAAGGCTGAGATCAGGATGTCAATTGGGACTGCTAGCTCATTTTATAAATCTTTTGCCTGGGATCTTCATCCAAGTTCACTGATTATTGGTATAATTCTGTTCTTCTGGTGGCACTCCCACTTTGAATCTCTCTGGCTTCAGGAAGGGCCAGTCCTTTTTAAGGGTTCACTTGATTAAATGACACCCACTCAAGATAATTTCCCTTTTGATAAAGTTGAACTCAAATTCAACTAATTTGGGATTATATCTGCAAAATTCCTTCACCTGTTTCATATAATAATGGCCCAATCGCAGGTGTAAGATCAATTCTATTCATAGTATTGCCTACAATCAAGGACAGATGACTATACCAGGCTTTGGGCTGCCATGAGCTAAGAAGTTTTCCTCTGTTGCTCCCTACCACTATGATGTTTCTGCCTTGGAATCAGCCAATCATGGACTGAAACCTCTGAAACTATGAGCCAAAATAATTCCTTCCAGGTATTTGTCAGAGCAATGAAAAGCTAACTCATACTACCATTAAACACAACAGCATTTAATCTCACAACCAAAACAAAAACAATTCATATGAAATACATACTTAACCATGCAATTTATATCAAGTTCAAAGAGAAAAAAAATTGCTGGCATTAGCAATCAGGACAGTTGGTTGACTCTACAAAAAAGGCAAGAGATATCAGTAGGCTTCTAGGTAGAAATGAGACTCTTCTTTCTTGATCTGGAGAGTATTATGAGGAACATGTTCACTTTGAATAATTCAGTGAGTTGAGCACCTGTGATTTGTGCACATTTCTGTACATCCATTAACATCATTATTGTACCCATGTATGATATGTGATGGGAGAGGTAGTTCAATTCTGCAAGAATCTTTCTGAACATCCATAATTCCAGTCTAATGTTGAGTAAAATATCAGACAAAACCAATTTGAGGAATTTTCTACAAAATACCTAATGAGTATTTCTCAAAATTGTCAAAGTCATAAAAAGACAAGGAATGACAGAATGAGAAACCGCCATAGACAATTACAGAAACATGACAACTAAATACAGTGTGCTATTCTAGACAAGATCCTGGAACAGATAAAGGACATTAATAAAAAAAAATTTAAAAAAAAAACCTGGGTAAATCCAAATGAAGTCTAAGGCTTGGTTAGTAGCAACATATTAATGATAACTTTTTAGTTTTGATAAATGTCCCATATGGTGGAATATTAGGAGTAACTGAAACTGAGGGATATATAGAACTATCTTTGCAACATTTCTATAAGCCTAAAACTACTCTAATAAAACAAAAAGTTTATAAGGCACCAAGCTGAATGCCTGAACTAAATAAACTAACATTTGTAGATATTAGATATTTAACATATAAAATTAAGAAACTAAGAAATTCTTGAGAAGAGAAAAAAGTAAAAACAAAACAATACATAAAAAAAGAGAAATGTAAAGAAATAGATATTTATAATATGGTAAAATCGAGATTGAAAGAGGCATGGAATTTGGAAGCCAGACAGTCAGTGTTCTTATCTTGGCTCTACTACTTACTGACTGGAAAGTTATTTCAGCTTGTTTTCTCATCTGCAAATGGGAATAATACCACCACCCACCTGAGAGAATTATAGTGAGGATTATATAAGATTTCATGTGCTTATTTAATAAAGTATTTTACTGGTACTTAACAAATATTCATTCACTTCCCTTCCCCCTTCACCTACTCAAATGAGGAAGCAGTGAAAGGCTACCAGAAGCCAAGAAACCCAGATTGGAGTTCTTCTACCTCCATCACTTACTACTAGTTATAGGGCCTTACACTAGGCCCTTTTTCACCTGCAAAATGAGTGTGCTAGTATAAACTAGGGATTGGCAAATTGTAGTCCACAAGCTAAAAATCCTAGCCTGCTGCCTATTTCTATAAATAAAGTATTATTGGAACCTACCTATACCCATTTGCTTATGTATTGTCTATGGCTGCTTTTCTGAAATAGCAAGGTTGAACAACAGACCATGTGTCCCAGAAAGCCTAAAATATTTACAATCTGGCTCTTTAAAGAAAAAGTTTGCCAGCCCATGGTCTAAATGATCTCTAAATGCTCTTTCAACTCCAAAATTCTAAACCAACACGTAAGATAAAGATGAAATTTGAAGGTACGCTTCATAAAATGTGTCCCAAGCCTAATGCCTGTTTACTCACCAATCATCCTTCTTATCTGCCACTTCTATAACTTTGAAATTGAATCAGGGAATGAGGCATCTGAGGTGAGCAGCTAGACTCCTGCTAAAATTGTAAACTTCATATGCCCAGAGCTCCTAGAGTTCCCAGCACTGTAGATACCAAGGGTTTTTATCCTGTTCCACTCAAGGCAAGTCCTTGAGAACTGGCACCTGGCAGTAAAGCAGGAACTGTCAAGGAGTTCTCTGACAACCCTACCTCCAACTGCTAGGTACAAAACAGCAGAGCCTAGGAATACCAAACTGAATGCAAAACAACAACAACAAAAAAAAAAAAGAAAGAAAGAAAGAAAAGAGAAGAAGCTGTCTACATTCTCATATTCCAAATGTCCTAATACTGGACTAGACCTTAAAGAGACTTAAGACATTCTAAACAAAATAGGATAGATCCTCTCTCCTTTCAACCAATTTGGTGGGAGTCAGCCTTATATTCAATACCCGGCTTTACCTTTTGTTTTGTGAAGGAAAACAATGTCATTTTTTTAATGCCTTAGGTAGCTCCCCTATAAAACAAAAATACAGCTGGGCTTAGTGGCTGAGGCAAGAGGATCCCAAGTTCAAGGCTAGCCTTGGCAATTGAGCAAGACTCTGTCTCAAAACAAAAAACATTTTGGGGATATAGCTCAGTGGTAGAGTGTCCCTAGGTTCAAGTCCCAGCACTGGAGGTCAGGGGCAGGGGGATAGAATAACCTGTCTCATAGGATTTTTGCAAATTAAGTGAATTCTCACAAAATATTAAATTTAGTGCCTAGCTTATACTTAATAAATAATAGCTACTGCAAGCTATTACCTATTTAACTTATCACCACTAAATACCTGTTTTTCAGAATTATTGTCCTCTTGAAATATTTCATACCACATACCAGCAGAATAATAATATTATTCTTTTCTTCCAAGCAAACATGTTATTAAAAATACTAACCAAGGTTCTTTTCTTCAAAGCTCTACTCTACTCCCTCTCTACTGAAATAATTTTCTTCTACCTTCTAGAAATTCAGTTTAGACACAATGGGTATGAAAGTGATATTTGCATAGGAAATTATAATGGAAATATGAAAGAGAAAAGAAATGCTATTTCAAAAGAGATATTGGTTCTAAATAAAGGAAAACATTTGAGAATGGATTCCAATTTTAGCTTAATAAAACCAAAACGTGTACATTTCTTTCATTGAAGAAATCTGAAAAATGTTAGAAGACAAAGCAGATAAGTGGCAATATATCTATGCATTTTCATTGGTATTAATTAACCAATAAAATTACTATAACTTGTTAATATTTCTTGCTGAAATTGGACAATAATAGTATAGTAGAAAGTACACAGAATTCTGGGGCCAAATAAACCTCAGCTGAAATCTTAGTTTCACCACTTTGTGTAAATATCAAAATAAGCATAAAGTTTTATTATACTGCTCTTATATTCTTAAAGACCCAGGATTTTTCCAAATATTAGATTAACATTTACTTGTACTGAAAATAAAAAGAATGCCGATACTATATGCAAAGTTTTCAAATAAAAAATTATCTGTTGGGCTGTGGGTAGTTCATTGGCTCACTATTTGCCTAGTATGGGTGAAGTCTTGGTTTGATCTCCAGTACTACAAACACACACACAAAAAAAAAAAGAAAAGAAAAGAAAAAAAAACTTTCAAAAAGAAATGATAAGCTGGGCGTGGTGGGACAAGCCTGTAATCTCAGGCAAGTTCAAGGTTAGCAAGTTCAAGGTCAGCCTAAGAAACTTAGCAAGACCCTGTTTCAAAATAAATAAAAAAATAAGAAGAGCTATGGATGCTGCTCAGTTGTAAAGCATTTGCCAAGCATACACAAAGCCTTGGATTCAATCCCCAGCACAAAAAAAAAAAAAAAAAAAAGAAAAGAAATCACAATAGTTAAACAATCTTAGCATTAGCATAGCATTATTAACTTCTTTACATAAAACAAACAAAAAGATGAAAGGAGTTGTTCAGCTTTCTCTTCTAGTAAATAACAATGTGGGTCCCAAGGCTGAACAAAAACAGGGCAGGCTCTACAGCACAGGTGCATTTAATAATATTGGTATTCTGCTTCCTTGGCCAAATGTGACTAGTGAAATTACAGACAAGGTTAGATTAGCACAGTTGCACAGATAATAGATTCAAAGTTACTTAAAATAAGCTATTTATACTAACAGTAACCAAATGGGGGGAGGGGGATTCTGCATTTCCAGTACCTTTCAGAGATAAGACCATCCGAGGACACCTGGGCTCCAAATATTTCTTGAGATCATCCCAGGCCTTTTTAATAGCAGCATAATGATCAATGTATCTTCCTACATCTGAGTAAGTATCTATGAAGAGAGATTTCCAACACTGATTCTTCCGTGTTTTCTCTTCCCTAAACAGATTTTTAAAATGAGATTAAAAATCTTTTCAAATAATACCAGGATATATTTTCAACACTTACCAACACACTTTATTGGGAGTTTGTGATTTGCCTTTCTTCTTCACTTATTTTAGCCACAATGGGAGACTAGATAACAAAAAGTGATACATACCTCAAAAATTGTAATAGGAATTACTGGTGACATGATGGGATTGAGTCACTATTTTCTTACTTTCTACTTAATTTTTTCTAAGTTTTCTAATCCTTAATAAAATATAATGTGAACAGTACCCCTACAAAATTTAAAAAGGTATGTTCTATTTTAGAGAACACTTAGAATCTAATGATAATAACAGAATAAGCCAGAGAATCACAAAGGATTAAAATAACTATATATTTCAACATTTCAATTTGGTATAATTCTGCAAACATTTAGCCACTGAAGGCATAAAAAATAAAGACACTTTTTTTGGAAGAAAGAATAAAGTATAAGTGGGAGAGGACAGAACAGCCACAGAAGACCTGAAGGTCACATACTAATGAGCTTTGGCTTTCTCCTGTAGGAAGCGTAGAGCCACTAAAGGAGTTCAATGGGGAGATTAAAAAAAGCAGAATTGGGGCTGGGTTTGTGGCTCAGTGGTAGAATGCATGCCTAGAATGTGTGAAGTACTGGGTTCGATCCTCAGCACCACATAAAAATAAAATAAAGATATTGTGTGCACCTACAACTAAAAAATAAATATTAAAAAAAAAGCAGAATTGTGGTTTTAGATTAATAGGGGTATTTGAGGGATATAAACTAGAGGCATAGAGAGGAGTTAGGAAGGTTTTGCAATAGTCCTGGTAAGAGAAGATGAACTGAACTAATCGAGGTGAAAGGAATAGGAAGACTTGAGAAATATACAGAAGCTAACCTCAGGAAGGTAACTGAAAGAATGTAAGACAGGAGATCAAAGATGATTCCTAATTCTGGCTTGGATGCCTAGACAGATGCAGCTGTCATGAAGACTAGAAACACAAAAGGATAGGTTTAGGACTGGGAAAAGAACAAAATGAGATGGGCTTTTTTTTTTTTTTTTTTTTTAAATGGGGGTTGAAGAGAAAAAGGAAGCATCTTTTTATTAATCTAAATTATACATACATATTAAAAACTAAAAAGTACTCAAGAACTGGGTTGGAGACAGCTCAGTGGTAAAACACTCACCTAATATGTATGAGGCCCTGATTCCATTCCCAGAGCCACAAAAAATAAAAATAACAACAACAATAAAATAAAAGTAATTTAAAAGTACCAAAGGACTTGTGGTTAAAAAAAAAAAAAACAAAAAACAAACCTAGTTTCCCATTCTAAGCCCTACCCCTCAAAGGAAATATAAGTTAATATCTCAAAGTGAAAGATAGGGACAGAGCAATACTTCAAATACCCGCTTCCCAGTTCCTCCTCTGTACATGAGACAGCTCTGTTGTTAATGTTTAGTCTGATAGAACTAAAAGCTTGCAGCTTTAAATAATAAACTTCTACTTCTTCCCCAACTTTTGTTACTATCCTTGATAAGAAAGTTGTTAGTATTCCCATCTTTTCTTTCACCTTTCCCAACTCTCACTGTTTATCTACACTTTTATTCTCTCAAATTTGTTAACCTGTGTGGAACAGCCAAGAGAAAAGTCTAGCAGACAACCAGCCTAGAGCCTGGGGTTGGGTGGTGGATGTCAGTGGGGAGACTCAGGTCTGGGAGTTAGGAGCACTCTCAAGTGGTCACCAGGAACTGGAACAACACATGCAGAGTTCACAGAGGGAGAGAATGGTGGGCCAAGAACTGAGCATACCAAGAACTGAGAATACCAACATTATCGGCAGGCACAAGAACAGCCATCAGAGGAGATACAGAGATACAGTCTAGAGATATAGAGATACAGTCTAGAGAGAAAACAGAATAGTGTTATAAGGATCAAGTTTTGAGAATGCATGTTCCCCATCAGCTGCTAGGAAGGAGAGAACAGAGGGGAATCAGATGGAGCTGAATGACAGGTACCAAGACACAGTTAAGTAGGGAATAAGTATGAGTGTTTTATAGCATAGTAGTTTGCAACAATTCATTATATATTTTATAACATTTTATAAAGAACGAAAAGAAGTTTCGGATACAAAGAAATGATAAATGTTTAAGGAGAGGAAAATACTATTAGCCTGATTTGATTAATATACATTATACACATGTATGAAATTATTACACCACAGCCCATAAACATGTACAATTATTACAAATCTATTAAAACATAAGTTGAAATTTTATTCTAAAAAATTTAATCCCCCCACCCCATTCACACATAAAAAAATACCTGTTCCCTGAATACTTACTCAGATATCAGCCAGTATTTTTTGCAATGTCTTCTCCACAGTGGATCATGACTTGATAGCTGGCTAAGTCTTCGACTGACATAGCAACAACTGGTGGTAACCAAATTCACAATTAGTACAAAATAAAAATTTTAAAAACATTTTTAAAGTAAAGATGAAAATAGTCTTTATTAAATTGTTTTATTCCTTTTACTTATTTTCCTCTTGCTATCCTTATAAATACAAAAAATACTTTCTAAATTTTGTTTAATGTGTTAGTATAACCCCTTGTGAGTAGTAAAATCTTAACTATTTTGATTCACACATAAATCCTGAAACCACTACAATTGCAATTTCCAAGAGTCTATTAAAAATAAATACATATAAAATTAGAGTTAACATCAAATCAAGGAGCTTTTCTACATTTATCAGAGTAGTAATTATCAGAATAGTAATTATCTCTATGTATTGGAAGAAACATTATTCAGGTGTAAACAAAGTGGTTTTCATGTATTTTTTAAGATCTGTAAGATGTATGATACTAAATGTAGAGGCCCTTTGCTTTGTTCTAATTTTTTTCTTAAAGGAAAAAAATACTGTAGCTAAAAAATATTCTTTCATTAAAGCAACTATTGGATAGTCCACCCCTAAAAAGAATATCTACATCATTATAGTTCTATTTGGCATTTATGGCTATACAAGTTATCAACTGCCCTACAACATGAACTACAAGAAGCACATGATTTTCTTATTATATTGAGATTTCCAACACAATAATGCTCTAATCCCATAATGCTACCCTACATAATTAATTTGTAAAAAAGAACTGAACCTAAGATTAGGAAAGTGGATTTCTATCCTTTAGAAATCATAACTTATAGAAAGTAGATATACAAAGATCTCACTTGGGCAATAACTAATCAACTCATGAAATCTTACATTACATGGAGTTTGTCAAAAGGCCAAAAGCAGGCATGTTAAAAACTGATCTATCTATGATAAACATATCAGCCTTTGATTTTCAAATTTTATAGAAACAGCATCCTCTTCCTTTTCTGTTGAGCTCAGGGAATAACCAAACTAACTTTTGTCAACACAAGAATTCCTCTAGTTTTACAAATTCAGGTTCCATTTTCTCTATTCTTGATTACTCTCCCTCTACTTGCCCCAATAGTTAAACAACATAAAAGAATTGGGAATGAGAACCAAAGGTGACTTTGATGCACTTCAAGGTTGAAAACTACTGCTCTAGGGTCTGATTCAGTTGGCTTAAAGTGAGAGCTGTACCCTAGGCATTGGGATGTTTAAAAAGTGCCACTATTATAGAATGAATCTGACAAAAATTATGCAATATGCATGTATAAACATACCACAGTGAATTCCACCACTGTTCATATCTATAAAGTGCCAAAGAAAAAAAAATGAGTGAGCCGGGAAGCAATGGCCCATGCCTATAATCCCAGTGGCTCTGGAGGCTGAAGCAGGAGGATCTCGTGTTCAAAGCCAGCCTCAGCAAAAGCAAGGCACTAAGCAACTCAGTAAGACCCTGTCTCTAAATAAATACAAAATAGGGCTGGGGATGTGGCTCAGTGGTTGAGCATCCCCAAATTCAATCCCCAGTACCCCCTGCCCAAAAAAATAAGTGAAAGGAAGACCAGTAGAGGACAGGAAGTGGGAGTGGAAAAGAAGGAAGGGACAAAGGGAGCACTAGGTATTGAAATGGAGTAAATCAAATTCCATGCACATATGATTTTGTCAAAATAAATCAAACTATTATAGTTTGGTTATAACTATTATAACCACAATGCACTAATAAAAGAAAAATTTTTATTAAAAAAAAACTTGCCACTGGTTATTGTGACACACAATGAAGGTAGAAAATGGTGTGTGATAAATCAACTTGGAATGGAGAAACTATGTAACTGATATTATACCAAGAGCCCAGTGAATTAATCCAATCTAAACCAATACAGTTGAACAAACACGTCCTAAACCTGTCAGTGCTTGGCAATTGGCTGGACATTTGTTAAGTTGGACTATATGGTACAAGGATGAAGCTTAAGTACATGGACACGTCTGTGCATAAAATTCAATAGTATTCAACTCAACTGATTTCCACAAGCATTTACCAAGGGGTCAGGTGCATCTGTTTAAAATTCTGATTGCTACCTAATGCATTTAGAATAAAATCTCCTCCCTCTGGCTCACAAGATCCTACATGATCTCACCAGCCTCAAGTCAGTCTGCCTGTGAGTCACTGCCTACCTCCAACAACACCAGCCTTCTAGCTCCTCCAATAGGCCATGCTGTTAAAGTCCCATCAGTCTCAGTGAAAACACTGTTCCCTCTACCAGTACTGCACTATGCCTTGCTTCATATATGGCAGCTCCTTCTGCTGTGAGTCGATTGTCTCTTCTTCCCAACTTTTTAACATAGCAATCTATTTCCTTCCAAGCACTAAGCACCTCTTATGTACTTGTCTTTCCATCTTGCCCATTAGTCTGTAAGCTCCATGAGATACCTTATCTGCCTGGTTCGCTATTGTATCCCTAACATTTAATAGGCTGGCACACCGAAGGTACTCCAAAAAACAAAAATCTTTTGAATAAATGATGAATATAAAGATAAAAACATTTTTTACATTTGAGAACACACCATATTTTTGGTATGGCAAATAAATTCTGTACAGGAAGGAAGAAGGTAAAGGAAGGTCTTAGAGGAATTTCACCTTGTCAGGTTAAGAGGGGAGCAAGATATTTCCAGCAAGGTCAAGAGCTTAAGCCACAAAATGAAAAAGAAGCAAGTACACTGCATTTGCTTCTGCTATCTGAAAGGCCTTAGAAAATAAGCCAGATGATAAAAGCCTTATATGCCCCACAAGTTTAGGTTACAATCTGTAAATAAGGAGTAATGAAGGTTTTTAAGGTTTTTATTCGTACTGAGAATGACAGCCAGATGTGTCTTGGGACGATCACTCTGGCAGCAATCAAAAGGGGGTGGGGTGTCTAGACAGCAAGAGGTCATAGCAACAGAATATTCCAGATTAAAGCAGTTCGAGCTGAACAGCCTTTCCTGAAGAAAAACTATTTATCTTCTTTAATACAGCCTGAGTAGGGGAAAAAAATCATTTTTCTAGAAAAATAAAAGCAGTAGCAGGTACTAGTAGAGGTGCCAGAAAGAAACTAGAGATATCCCTCTGAAACCACTTAGCTAGGCCTACCAACATCTAGCTATCTGTTAACTCCAAGTAATATGTATACCTATAAGGACCCTTAATAACACAAACCACAATCATCAACGGCTAGAACCAACGGTTATTAAAAAAAAAAAAAAAAAAAAAAATCCAAACAGGCCTTGCCTACCAGTACAGAGAGCGACTTTGTCTCCTCTGCAAACATTCATGGTAGGTAGCACAAGAAACTCAAAGCCACGCTGTCAAGGATGTAAACAATCCTGACACCCGGGGGGTCGAGGAAGCGCCTTTTCTTCCTCCATTCCAGACTATCCCAATTTCTTAAAAGAACTGAACCACCTTTACCAGCAACCGGTGTTTATTTTTGGAACAGATGCTCTAAAGTGGGAAACCCTGCGAAAGACAGTCACCTGTATCGCATCACCGGAAGTCAGAACCAAAATACAAAATTCCAGCGTCCAGTCATAAGGAGGACAGTTGAGAACAAAACAATTCTCAACACACAAGTCCGAAGTAACCTCTGCCAGCGACCACGATGACGGGTGCGGCACCTGGGGGGTCAGGGGTCGCCTGCCTCCTCGCGCGTTCTACCTGCCCACGCTGGCAAAGGATTCTGCAGGCGAGGAGGCCAACAGAGACAAGCGACCGCCACGACAGGGGTTTATCTACGGAGTCCAGGGCTGGGCCAGACCCAGAAGGGCCTCTGCGGAACCAGCGGTGGTCCACGGGTCGCGGCGGGGCGGCACCCGGGCGCTACCTCCCTCCCTGCAATTGGGCCTCGGCGAGGCCTGGAAGAGAGAGCTCTTGTCTCCTGGGGCCTGAGGCCTGAACGGGAGGAAGACCCCAGGGCCGGGCCCTCTCCGCCCGGTCTCCCCCGGCCCCGCTGGTTCTGCAAGATAAGGGCGGCCCTGGCGTCACCTTCTGGTGCCGCTAGGGTCCAGTCCTGTCGGCGTCCCCAGCCTCCTTCCCTCCTGCCTCACCGCCTTTTCTCCCACCCCGGCTATGCGCACCGCCCTATTACTTGATTAGGTCCCGGTAGTCCAAGAAGGATAAGATGAGGAGCAGGGGATCGGTGGGCAGCGACTCCAGGGTCATAGGCACCGTCTCGGCCTCCATGGCCGCCATCTTGCCTGGCCCGGTGCAAGCCTAGTCCCGCCCCAGCCCCGCCCCAGCCCCGCCCCCGCCACCGCCCGAGCCGCTCCCCATCCGCTAGCACAGGTTTGTTATGTAACTGCCAGCTAGCCCCGCCCTCAGGGCGGTCCCCGGGGCGGCTCCCGGGGAGGCCCCGCCCCCGCCTCCGCCTCCGCTGCAGGCTGCGGGCGGGCGCTGGATTCTCCGCGGCAGCATTTGCTTCTGCTGGTGTTCCCACCTACCCTGATCCCTCCTCTCGTTGCAGCTCCTAAACCTGCCCAGATCTTTGTCAGCCTTTGTTCCCGAATCCTCTGTTGCAGCCCCTCAGTCCCTCAGTCCCTCATGGGCAAATTTACACCCGGAATCCTCAAAATCTCACCCCAAATCGCACACTAACTACTCCCAGCCCTTGGGCTCCGAAACCCATCGCTACTCTTCGTTTTCCCAACCAGGAACCGTTCGTTTCCCACTTCAGCCTCCCTGGTCGCACGTGTCCCTCCCACACAGCAGGGCTGGTCCGAGGCTTGTCCATTCGATTGGAGCAAGACTAGGAATCAGCCAGGGACGCTGAAGAAGGCTCGTCTTCCCAGCTGGCACAAGATCGTCGAGGGCATAATTTTACCATCCCCTCCTCAAGCAACAAGTATACTTAAGACTGACTCAAGTGTCGGCTCTGACGCTTAATTTGGCTATTTGTCAGCCTATTAGGGCAATGCAAAGTACATAGTAAATGGATTTTTTAATTCATTTATTTGGCTAAGGTTTAGATCTCTGAGGATTAGAGGGATGCACTGAGACCCCCCGGAGGGCATAATGACAGAGGCACAAGATGGCTGTTTCTTCAGCTTTGCCAGGATGGTATTAAAATGGGAGTGGAAGAAGTAAGTGTAACAGATCCTGAACCAAAGAACACATGCCTTGTCGGATTTCTTTCCCGTTGCTTTTCTAGGAGCAGTATGGTGTAGGGATAGGTGAGGGCTTGGGGAGTTCGTGAAGACCTGGACTTCACGTACCTGTCATTTATTTGACTAATAGTGACATGTTGGACGAATTAACCTTATCTAAATTCTATGAGCCTGCTCCTCATCTCTAAAAACCAGCCCTCCTACTGTGAATTAAAGATGATAATAACCCTTTGTTTTTATCAAGTGCCTGGCTAGATATCCAATAAATATTTCCCAAGCTTATACATACAGCAGTCACTAAGTTTGCCAAACTAGTTCTTGAACTAACCTGGATTTAAATTTTCTCTTGTCATGTCCTGGAGAAAGTTTCTCTGGTATTTGGAAAAGTGCAAATAAACTCCTTCACTGTCTCCAAAAAAAGTCTATTTTCTCGGTTCAATATGTCATTAATGCCTTCTATTTATGGTTTTGTTTTTATAGTTATAACCCCTACTCTTGCCCAGAAAAGTGAAATAACCTCTTGCCCATATCTCTGAACTTCCAAAGTATTTATGCATATATATTATTTACTGAATTGGGTTCAGGTTGTTTGTTCTTTGTTTGTCTCTCCAAACTGTAAACTCAAGACTTATTTATCCTTGTAAACTCAGGACATAGTATGGCATTTGATAAGTAGAAAATTTAAATCCAGGTTGGCCCAAGACAGCAGTCTTTTCTGTTTACTAGGGAATCATGCCTGTTATGTAGGTAAATGTTTATAAAGTCAATTGATCCTAATTTCTGCTTATTTCTATTTCTCTCTCAGATAGGCTACTTATTTTAAATCCAAAGGCTGGTGGGGTTTTCAGGTACACTGCATTTGTTTCTACTATCCCATTGCTCTTATACTTGCTCTAAGCTGTGACCTAATATAGAAGACCAAAAAATGAAGTTATATTACTGTCTTGACCAGGACTAAGGTGAGGTGAGAGAGGCACTTGTCTGGGGCATAAAACAGAAGAGAAGTGCCAAAAAAAACACCTCAGTAATCATGAGAAATAACATTTTAATGCCATGCCTTTAAAAAATCAAACTTGATGCAAAAAAAATCCATAATAAACAAAACACTGAAATCTTATATAAAAACAAAATCAAATAAGGACATGCAAGCCATAGTAAAGTCTAAAGCAAAAGGGAAGATCTGTATCTCTGAACACATGTTTTTATGTTTTTATTTATTTTTAAATGGTTAATTCTCAGCTGGGTGTGGTGACTCATGCCTGAAATCCCAAAGACTTGGGAGTCTGAAGCAGGAGGATCACGAGTTCAAGGCCAGCCTCAGCAATTTAGTGAGGCCCTGAACAACTTAGTGAGACCCTCTCTCAAAATACAAAATTATAAAAAGGGCTTGAGGATGTAACTCGGTGGAAAAGGGCCCGGAGTTCAATCCCCAGTACCAAAAAAAAAAAAAAAATTCCCACCATGAATACCACTAAAAGGTGAAAAGCAAGTCAGATGAATGACTTGCTTCTCCCTCGTGACTGGGCCCAGAGTTCCCACTGTGCTCCTCCAGCCTGTCTTTTCTATACTGCCACCCTCTGCCATTCCTTCTTTGGAAGATACCATTGGATTGCCAGCCCCTTGTGCCACAGACCAGGCCTTCCTGAGGAGGTAGCCTCAACCCAGACTTCATTTTCTCTCCAACATGTTATGAGACAGGTGAAGGAGGTTGGGGAAGCAATGCAGGTAGTTAGGATCCAGGACAGCCCTTCCTTTCCTGGGTGTTGGCTTCCTATTGACCCCACTCTGCCACCAATAATGGCTGGACAAAGGGGTGGGAAGGAAGAGCCCAGGACTTGTTAATCCAGGTCTTCTATGCTTTAGAAGAGGGGAAGGAACTGGGCATGGTGGTGCACACCTGTAATCCCAGCAACTTGGAGTTTGAGGCAGGAGGATCATAAATTCAAAGCCAGCCTTAGCAATTTAGCAAGGCCCTAAGCAACTCTTGTGAGCAGCGCTATTTATAATTAATCGAGGATTGTCTTTAAATGCAAGCAAGTATTTGATCACACCAATGCAAACACAGTTAATGCAAAAAGTGTGGGTGTGCTGGAGCATCCCAACTAGCATTCAATGCACACTAATTAAACGCTATAAACAAATCACACAATCCTAGGGCAAACACGAGCCCCAAATTACGTCCTGATGCCATGCAACTTCTCTTAACTGAAGAGCAGACATTGTTGTTGTCTGATGGTTCTCTCCAGCCGACTGTTGGATGTCAGGGAATAGTGGATTCAATCTGGGGACAGACAGCAAGGCGGCCAGTCTCACTGATGTCCTCAGAGCAAAGTTCTTTGATGTGGCAAGACAAACAGTTGAAACATAATTCCAAGTTGGTGTTGTTCGTTGGTTATTAGTTACACCTAGTGAGACATTGGTTTCACCCAATGTCCATTGGTCATGTCCAGTGAGATGATGTAATTGCAACAGAGCGTGTTCTTTTTGCATGTCCATGGAGCTGGCTCCTTATCAATTGCAACCAATTATTGCTAAGCATGCCTATGACCAGTGCCCCTTATAACTCCTTATCCATTGCAACCAGACATGACTAAGCATGCCTATGGCTGCTGTTCCTATGTTTGTATGTGGAATTTATTTTTAAAGTTTCCTTTTTTTCTCAGGAATAGAATGAACAAAGCTTGAGAAATAAATATACTTACATGTTCCTTCAGGACCCCAGTGTCACCTTGACTAGAACAGTCCTTACCAGACAATACCCAACTTCTTGGTAATCACATTGTAGCTTTGGCTTTGAAGTTCCCAAGGGCCATTCAGATAAATTCTTCAGACATTAATTCACGTTTTATCATGTGTAGCATTTGGGCTGAGGAACTGAGAAGAAAACAGAAGGTGAAAAGTATACTCCCTAAAAACTTGTTGGGGACAGACAGATCCAAATGGCCCTGGACATTCATTTTCCCTCTCGTTTTCGTGGTTTAGTAACTGGTTGCCTCAGCAGGGTGAGTTAGCTTGTGGTATGACAGGAAGTCAGGAGATGCTGAGCTCTAGAGAGTTCTTCTAAATAATGGGCTAGATGTACCCCCTCCCCATATGTAAAACACAATAGTCCAGGGTCCAGCTCCATTGGCCTCTTTCTGGGATGTGTCAGTCTTACTCTGCCTAATCCTAGGGGGTCCTACAAATGGGACAAGAGAGCTGAGAGCTAGGATGGGCAATGGAATGGGGCAAGAGGATCTTCTACATTCTCCTCCTTCTCTGTTGAGCCCTGACTTCCAATTTGCAATTATAGTAGTAGCCTTGGATTTCTGTGCCCTCAGCCTCTGAACTGCAGCTACTTGTCGGTTGTGCCCCAAGCTCCACTTTGACTCAGGGCTAGCTACGTGTTTTTGGAGCCATCTGGGAGCCCTGTAAATGAGGGACGGGAGGACAACATTGAGACCTTAATTCCCCAAAATAAGTGCACCTCCCCCCTAAAAAAAATTCAAAAAACAAAAACAAAAACAAAAAAACACCTGAGCTGAAAGGCTGCTAGTGATTGGTAAGAAGACCCACCTCTTCAGAGCCCAGGAAAATTCAGCAGTGTCTGAGATCAGGGAGAAGGAGAAAAGTACTGGGGTGATGAAGAATGGATTTAGCTGCTCCCACAGAGGAAAACCACAGCCAATTTCATGCCCAATGAGAATCATGAAAGGGATGTAAAAGATTTATAGGCACAGTTCTAGCAACTATTCAAACTGAGTTCTGAGACTTAGTTGCTTGCCTCTTTCTTAGGCAGAAACTTTAAATATTCCTGAATTCACCAAATGTCACTTATTTTTTTCTTTTGTTCATGTTTTCTTACAGCCCATGAACCTTCTGGAACTGCCATTTGGATATATTTTAAGTGTTCCCTTTTTGTGTCTTCTAATATGGTGGACTAAGTGTGTCTACAGCCAAGAATGGCCTGTAATCTCAAAGCCTGCCAAGATTGCTTTATTGAAATAAACTCTCCCACCAGGCAAAGACAAAATGCACTATTCTCAACCAAGATGTAATACTGGCCAGGGTGCTGAACACTACCACCCACCAGTTCAATAGCGCTACAGGGCTGGGGCAGCCCTTAGTGTCTAGAGTC